GTGCCCCGCTAAGTTTCAGTTTTGGGAGCGACTGTTTTTTAACTGGAACGACTCTCGACTTTGACGTGAGCAAATGTACGGAAACGTGTCCATCGCAGTCTTCTGTGCGTACGTAAATCGAACAGCCGTATGCGCGAATAGATGCATCGCAAATCCCATGTACTTGGATGCTGCGAGCGTTTGGCAACATACAATAGCGAGGTACGTCAAGTGACGAAAGCAAGTTGAGTGATGCTAAACAGTTATTCCAGGCTTGATGCAAATGTTGAGGCACAGACTCATCCCAGTTAAGCTTCAGTAACCATAGTTCTTGTGGGATTATTTTGGAGGTAATTACGAGAGGTGACAGCAATCCAAGTGGGTCAAAAAGCGATGAGGCCATGGACAATATTGTGCGCTTTGTGATGGACCCGAATACTTGCTTCGGTGTAAACGTGAATCACAGCTTGTCGCTTCGTTGATGCCACGTCACTCCAAGTGCGCTAGTCACGAAGTCTTCGGTGATGTTTAATTCTTTTGTAGTTTGGCTTTCCATGAATTCAGGATGATTGGAGTGCCATTTGGATAACGGAAATTATCCACGGCGAAGTACCTCGATGACTTGAGACTTTAACGTGTGCAAAGTGTCTACATCATCCGCACCACACAGAAAGTCGTCAACATAAACTGATGATTTTACCGCTGATGCGCCGATTGGAAGCTCAACCATGTACTTATTTGCCAGATAATGAAGGCTGCGTACTGCGAGATATGGGGCTGAGGCTGTGCCGTATATTACCGTATTAAGCTGATACGTCTTGAGATCTAGGTCTGGAGAAGCTCGCCAGATAATGTACTGAAATTTACAATCATTTTTATTCATGAGCACTTGCATGTACATTTTGGTTACATCTGCAGTGATAGCATAGAGGTACAGCCGAAAGCGCAACAATAGCACCAAAAGCAAATCGTTCAAAGATGTTTGTGTCGAGGTACGGCATGAGGCGTCGAATACTACCCGAAGCTTTGTTGATACACTACTAGGCTTTAGCACGCAGTGATGCGGTATGTAGTAATGCGGTTCTTCTAAGTTCGGTGCCGCAACCACGGACATGCGACCAAGGTTCTCATATCCTTCCATGAATGACACATGCTGGTGTCGAATATCAGGCGAATGCAAGAGGCGGCGTTCAATTGCGAGGAAACGGCGATGAGCGATGTCAAAGGAGTATCCAAGGCTACTGGGATTGTCCTTGAACGGCAAGCTCGCAACCATGCGTCCAGTGGCATCGTGATGTGTTGTGGCTACAAAGATATCTTCACAAACGTGATTATCAGGTAGAATGGGTTTAACCGGCAAGTCGATGGCTTCGAGCTCCCAAAGGTGTTGCATATTTGCGTCGATGGAGTCTTCGCTAGACAATAGACAAGACGGTGATGGCATGTAGTGTTGACGCTGATATCTACCCGAAACCACCCAGCCAAACAATGTCTTATGGAGTGTGGGTAAGTTCAGGCCCAGTCGACTTTGGCCAACAGCGAGCGCGTCAAAAAATGCCTCTGTCCCAAGCAACAGATCAATACGGCGCGGTTTGAAGAATTCTTCATCGGCTAATGTTGTATTGGCTGGCAAATTCCAAGTTGAGGTATCGATTTCGGCATCAGGCTGGTACGCAATGTGTGATGTGATACCGAACTGTAGCGAAAGTTCAAAGGCTGATGTGCGCGACTTGATAGTTGTGGTGGTTCGCGCCTTAAGATTAGTGAGTGAGTCACCAATACTGCGAATTCCGATGTGATGCCTTTCTGGACGAAGGTGAAGCCTTTGAGCGAAGTCGTCGGTTATAAAGTTCACTTGGGAACACGAATCGAGTAGCGCTCTTCCAAGTTTGTACGCACCTGTGGAGTCCTTGACTAGGACCATAGCCGTTGCTAGAATGACCTGGCCGCAATCCGATGCCTCCATGTGTGAATGTGTAGCTGCCTGCTGGTTGTACGTTTGAGGTCTGCTTAAAGAACGCGATGTCGACGAAGCTTGCCAAGAAGATTTCGGTACTTGGAAAGATTATGATGAGGCAGCTGGCTTGAGATGTGAGCGCAGTCGATGATGCGTTGTCGTGATGCAGCAGCGTGGGATGCGCTCGATTACAGGTGCGACAACGATGTTCGATGGGCACTGTGGCATTCTGTGACCGTTGCTCAGGTAATTGATACAGAGGTCGTACTTCTTAACAGCATCAAAGCGATAATTTGTAGTCATTTCCTTAAATTGAGAGCAACCAACAAGTTTATGCTTGGAACTGGAACATAAAACACAACGAGAATGAGTAATAGCAAAGGAGGAATTTTGGCCAGGATTGGCGATACGATTTTGCTTGCAGGAATCAGATTTCTGCTGCAAAGATGGGTCGGATGAATGTAGGAACTGACAGTGACGTTCCAAAACCTGCGTCCACTGTGGCTAGGTTGGAAGCGATTTGTAATCGAGCGATTCATTCCACTTGTTTCGAGTTTGCTGATCACATTTTCCGATCACTATATAAATCAGCATTGCTTGTGCGATATGGAAACTCGTGCCCAGTGATTGCACCAAACTGAAAAACTAAACTGCGTAGCTGTTGATAGTTCGACTTATCGGCTGGCTGTAACGTAAATAGCGAAGCAATACCTTGGCAAGTGTGTCGACGTAGACGTAGGAGCTGCAGATATTGTTTTGGAGTAGCTAACTATGCTGTTTTCATCCTCCCCAAGTTGTGCTTGAATACACAGTTTAACCGCGACATAGCTGTCCTCCAAATCTGCGCGACCGTTGTCTGTTGGTTTGAGGTCTTCAATGTCAGCTTGAACGGAGAGTGCTTGCTTGAAGTACGACTCCAATATTCCAAGCCGACATTGTAACTCCGCATGTGAGAGTTTGTCATCCGAGCCCTTGATTCCCCCAACAATTGATTTGATTCGAGATATATTGCGTTTTATATTCGCACGTTTGCGTTTGGAGTCCTCAAGCGACATGACTCCTTTGGAGCGTATGCTCTGCTAAACTTGCTGCTGGATTACCCAAACATAAAGCGACGAGAAACACTGCCGGCGGCGGTCAACCAATGACGCAAACAACGGCAGCGATGAAAACGAAGATGTAGACAGCACAATAGCAGTGTGCGCGGGCAGCGAACGTAAAGCGAGAGCAGCGTATACAACGAAAGGTCAGCGAATGCAAAGAGGCAGCAAAGTGCGCGACGGTTACTAGTGTTGGCAGCAGAGCAGATTAGCGACGACAGAGCAGCAGCAGTGCAACGGTCGGCTAACAAGAACAGCGAATGCAAATCAACGGCAGTGCCCGCAACTTTGTGTAATTAGGAGAACCCACAGCAACAATAACGAACTTTTAGGGCAGCACTTACTTGCATATGTATGTACATATATGGAATGCACAGCCAAATAGCAAAATCAAATAAAAACTGTATTTAATGCATACATACATATACTTCCCATGAGCGGTAAATTCAGAGTTGGATGAGATCCGTAAATTCGTCTTGCAAGAAATGTAGGCGGCTTTACGGGCAAAAAAAAATAGCGAGTGATGGGCCTTATGTACATAAATACATATGAATGTATATTAGCGAAACTCGACGGGAATTACACTGCTAGCGATTGATGAACTACTGCAAAAACACAACTGCAAGAGGAGGGCGGTACGTGCCTTTGGTAACGGTCCGAAGAAGTTGATTATTTTGATGCTTCAACCGGTCGATGAATTTAAATAGTTAATTTAAGAACACGGGCCCCACGTTGGGCGCCAAAAATGATGGATCAAGAAGCCTTTTTCCTGATTAAACGAAAGCACAAATATGTGATGTTGATGTTTGTTACTTATTAGCGACTTATATTTAGTACGAACAAATGAAAGAAAGGGAGAGTGATTATGAGTGGAATTATGATTGCTTTACAATGTAGGTATATATATGTATATGTGTGTATGTAACTAAAATCAAATGCATGCTTGCAGTGAGAACCAGATGAGCCTACTTAAACTAGGCTTTTATCCGGCGTTTGAGTGGATCACATTAGGGTGACCCAACAATTATTATTATTATTTTATCCTTTCGGAGGAAATAAATAAACAAATTCTTCACTGGCCGTATAAAATATATACAAACTTGACACCTAGCACTTCGTAAAGGTGGAAGTCTTTAACATGGACGCCTTTATTTGTAAAGGCCAAGCAAAGTCCACACCAGTGACAGGGAGGAGCGGAGCGAAGTTGCAGCGTTCAGGTTGCAATGCTGCTATGATCTGGGCGTATCTTCTGTAATACACAGTGCAGGCCTAACACATTTGACTTTCCCTGGGCTAACGTCATGGGATTTGTAAACCTTATCGGACTATTTTTTCGGAGGGTAGCAACATAAGGGATAGTTCTGAAATTATGTGGTAGAACTTGTGCTTGTGTAGTTGCTTTCTGAAAGTCATTTTGCTTTAATTAACCAGATGGGTGGTTAGGCTTTACCTTCATTTTAAATGCGCTGGTTCCATAATTGGCCTAGGCTATCCTGTGGGGCCGAAGGGGTAAGAGAATTTCCGTTTTGAATTGATTCATATTCTATAGACTTAATGGTTTTTGAAGAAGTTTCAATTTTGGGGTGTGACAAGTTTTGCGACTTTTTTTTCACTCCTTGGGGTTTAGTGCTTGGCTAGGTAGCATATTTTTAAGTTGCGGCAGAACTCTGGCGTGTGCTTCTGTTCTTACATCCGCATTGGGGGAAATCAGAGGTAATGAATAGATTTTATTAGAGTTTTGGGTTACTCTTCCACCCATTTTGGAAATTTCAAAGTTTGAATTTTTTGTTGGGAGTTTTAATCGGTTTTGTGCTTCTGCCGAGATAAAAGATCTTTGTGAACCTTGATCTATTAGAGCACTAAGCTTTAATAGTTCTCCTCGGTGTTCGATGGAGATAAATGCAGTGGGAAGTAAAATGCTGCTTTCATTGTTTGAATGCAGTGCTTGTATATTTGCTGCTTTTGAGCAGCATGATCGCTCTTGTGTACTTTCGGGGTCTGCGTTTTGGGGTCTTCGGGTCTAGTTGTTGCCACTAGACCAGTAGTTCTGCAAGCTTTTTTTGGGTGTGCTTGTTAAGTTTGTTATGTGGAGCATCGAATGAGGTCTCCTTTGGCAATACACGCAGTTAAATTTGCTCCCATAGTCTTTAAACCTATGAGATTGAGATAAGCAATTGGTACAATGCTTAGAGCTTCTAGCGAACTTATTTCTTTCGATAACTGATAGTTTTTTAAATCTCTCGCAAGATGAGATGACCTTCTTTACACAATTCGCATGACGCATATTTATTTTCTGTTATGTATTATTGCGATCAATTGAAGCTTCTATTGTGTAATTTGGGATTTCAGGCATGGCGTATATTGAAGCTTCTATGTAGATCATTTTGTGTGTTTTTGGGTTTTGATAATATTTTGTCTACCCTCTCTGCTATTTCGTACTGGGTAGTGAGAAAATCTTTCATTTGTTGCCATGTCGGACATTTTTTTCGGGACGGAAGCGATTGCTACCATAGAAGTAACGACTTTTCTGGTAATGTTGCGGAACACACATTTACCAGAATTGGGTCCCAATTATCTGTAGGAATGTTTTGAGTTTCTAGCACGGATAAATAGTTTGTAACACTGGACTGTAATTTTATGAATTAATCACTAGTTCCTTTTTGAATTTTTGGCAAGTTCATTAGAATCGTTACTTGATTATCGACCAGTACTCTTTCATTTGCGTATCTTGATTTGAGTGCTTCCCAATCCAGATTGAAATACTACCTGCTTGACCTTTTGTTTTGTACCTGAGGTGGTACAGTTATTGTGCTTGAGATAGTTGTGGATGGTTTATGTACCCGGCCCCGTAAACATGTCCCGGAAGGACGGCCATTCTTCATAACCTCCGTGCAATACTTCGGTGTCACATGCTGGCACTTTTAGGGAAATGCCTGAACTTGCTTCTTGGGCTTGGGGTATTTCTACACTCTGGGGTGGAGTAGGTGCACTGATTTATTTAATAATTTAAGCTGATCGGAAGTCATAACTTTTGTTTCTTTGGTCAAGACAGGCTTCGTATTTTGACGAAGCCGAAGCTTTAAAATTTTCGGGCAAATCGGAATCGTCCGTTTCGATTATTGTATCATATGCCGCTTGAAGTCGGACCCAAAAATTGTCAAGATTATTGTTTTTTAACTCTAGAACCGGTTCTGGGTTATCTTGTATTGGGGCGGAGGAAAATCGAGTGCAGTATCTTAGACTGTCACTGTCTGAAGTAAATCTTGCGCCTGACAAATCTTTGTTTTTCTTCTGTTTCGCACCATTCGAGCTTGTAGCTTCTGCAGGTGTGCATTGGGGTTTATTTTCATATATATATATTCATATATAAAATATTCGGATTTTTAACTACTTTCTCTTTTATTGGGGTTATGTTAGTTTGCATTTAAGTATTGTGACTAACTCAGTGAGAGGGCAGAACCAGGATGAATGTATTTGCATACAAATTTTTTGGGTAGGCGTTGGGACCAATGATCAGTTACCACCTCTGCATGGTTGTAAGACATGTAGAGTCCCTACGGCTTATAGCGCTGTGGCTTTGCCGCTTAGAACCTCTGGAAGAGTTTTTGGTGGTGTGCGTCAAGGTCAAGAGGGTGTGTTGAGCACCGGTTATGCATTCAAGTTAGAAATTGGGTAGGCGCTGTGACCAATGGTAACTCTTGTACCACCTCTGTATGCTGAAAGTCAACAGCTTGTAGCGCTTTTGCTTTTTCTGTTTAAAACCATTCCGGAGGAGTGGTGATGCATCAAGCGAGTTGAGCATGATTTGGGGTGCCAAAAATTAACTACTTTAGTAGGCTTTGTTCTGCGGCAGTTGAGAAGTGCATAAAAAATGCATACCAAATGAAGAACGAGCGAATTATTCCCAAA